TGTCCAAAGTATGTCAGATGAAGCTAGGAGTCAGGAAATCGTGTGGCTTCTGGATCACATGTGGTTAAGGCTGAGAGGAGAATAGCTGGTATTTCCAGACATCTTTTGCAGACGTGTGACTGTGCACTGACTACAGAAGGGAGCCTTTCTATTGTTGCAGATTGATGAGTCAATGTTTCTGATGACAAGATGGGACAATTCCACGGTGGAATTTTAAATCATAGCTGACATTGATTGAGACAGCTTACTCTGAGTCAAGTGCAGGTCCTCAGGATGGTGATGTGGCAATGGGCCTTTCACCAGGAGTGGGGCTATCGGGTAATCATAGGATCGTACTGGAGATGATAACTTTGAGGACTAGACAACTGATGTCACAGAAGCCAAGACTTGGTTTCACCTGGGCCCAGATAGGATGAGGAATAAGAAACTCATCTTGGTTAAAAAAATTACGGAGGCACTAAAATGCTTTGAAATCAAGATAACTAATGACTAAGGATGCCAGAAGAAGAATCAATGGCTTTGAGTTGTGGTGTTAGAGAAGAATTCTGAATGGCCTATGAGCTGCCAAAAGAACAAACATATAAATATGTCTTGAGGAAAAGTGCAGCAAGGGTATTCTTTAGAGGCAAGGATGGTGAAATCTCATCTCACTTATTTTGGGCATGTTGTTAGGAGGGCCCAGTCTTTGGAAAAAAGACATCATGCTTGGAAAGGTAGAGGGTCAGCGAAAGAGAAAGGGACCGTTGACAAGATGAGTCAACACAGTGATGACTGTTAACAACTTGGCTGGACGGAGTAGATTAGAGACTGAGGATGAGGATAGCACCGGACAGGGCAGGGCTCAGGTCTCTTGTTCATAAGTCGCTGTGAGTCATAGCTGACTCAATGACACCTAATAACAACACTTTCTTGCAGTGTTTTTTTTTTCCGGATAAAAAATAATGAACAAAATATCAAAGTTTAAAATCAAGACAAGCTATTATTGGCTTCATGACCTTGTGTTGTTCTACAAGGAGGCAGTTGTTTCCAGTGATCCCTCAGCTCCTAGGAAGCTCACCTTTGCACACCCACCTCCACCAGGTGGGCTTACGAGGGTTGGCAGAATCTTGCTTTTGGATTGCAGAGCGTTTGTAGATTGTAGAACTATTTCACTTGGTTCAAACTCTAGGAGGATATTTTGATAAGTGTACACTTATTTTTGTATTGCCTTTGGCTCCAATATGGGTAAATAGTCAGGTTTTTATCTTAAAGGGAGATCAAATTTAGAAAAGAAGCTATAGCTCTTCAACTTTAGGCAGATGACTTAACCACTCTGCCTCTCAGTTTTCTCCTCCTTAAAATGGGGATGCTCTTACCCACCTCTTAGTGTTGCTGTGAGGATGAAAGGCTCTGTTCTAGAGTGCTTACTATACATCTTATTGCAGACACTGAACCACCATTGAACTCCTTCCTATCCCAGATTTTTTTTAATCCCAGATTTTTTAATTTTTTATCCCAGATTTTTTTTAAATTAATCTATGTTTTAACGAGTTTACAGAAAACTTGGATTTCCATTCATTCGTTGTTGCACATTTTCCTCCCTGCTCACACCCAGTTCACCTCTCTTTAAAAAAAGTTTTTCATTGTTATTCAGTTTCCTCCCTCTCCCCCTCAACCCAGTCCACTTTCCTATGCACCTTATTCCGGATGTTGGCATGCAAATAATGCCTAATCATATATTTCTTTTAGACAGTTTTTTCTCTCATTTATCTACATTCACTATTTTTTATTTATCCCCTCTTTTCTTAGTTTCCTCCAAATCCCCATGTCAGTCCTGTACATTAAAAAAAAATTATTTATTGTTTGCATATAATCATTCATATACATTGTGTTTTGTACATGTACTATATGATTTCTACAATCATTCCTATTTTGTTGTTGTTGTTGTGTACCATCGAGTTGGACTGGCCCATAGCTGACCTCCTTGTAGGTTTTCAGATGCAGTTAATCGCTTGGGAAGAGATTGCCTATTGGTCTCCCACAGAGCAGGTGGTAGCCTCGAACCATGTGCCTTTGGGATTGCAGCACATCTTCTTGCCACTAGGCCACCAGAGTTCATATTTTATATAATGAATTACTATTGCTCTATTCCTATTATCACTCTGCCTTTTCAAGCCCCCACTGAACCTCTCCCATTATTTCACTCCCCCTCCACCCAC